TTTTGCTCCCTGTTCGCAAAACCCATATCCTGAAGCTCAGACAATTCAGAAGAGTAATTCTCAGAGTCAAGATCATTACTTGTTGATGGAAAACTACCAGGGAAAGGCGGAAGCCTTGCATGTCGCTGTGGATTAAGAGGTTGGTATGGTGGAGTGTTGCATAATTGATTCACCGTTACTCGTCGTGGTGGTGGTGGTGGTGGTGGTGGTGGTGATGATAAAACTATTGGAGCCGGTGGTGGTGGTGGCGGTGGCGGTAACATATTCAGTGGTGGTGGTGGTGGCGGTAACATATTCAGTGGTGGTGGTGGTGGCGGTAGTGTTGAATATACAGAATGACGAGACGAGGATGGGTACGATCTAAATTGGAACAAGGGCGCATTGTTCGGAAAACTGCCTGGCATGTCAGGAGGATTATAAATACGATCTTGTTGTGAATTGTCTTCATTTGATGAGCTGGAACCCGTATTTTGATTTTGATTCTTCGCCGAATTTAGCATGTTCAAAACGAACTCAACATACATCGGGGTATTCTCCAAGATCTGATGTATGCCAATAAATCGATGATTAATAAATTTAATGTGATTTGGATAAAAATATATCAAAATTCATGTGAAATGAACATTACATGGTTCATTGCCGAGTCCACCTTGTCGAGCATCTCCGGATCGTCACCCAAAACCTTACAGCACTGTTGAATAACCTTTTCGAATTTTGTTGACAATCCCTCAATCGTCGAACTTTTGTGTTTATCTTGATCAGCTTGCCGTTCTTGAACAATTGGTAGTTCACCGGAGGTCGTAGAAGCGGTTTCCAAAATTTTGACGTGTCTCATCTCTTGATCATGCTCTTCAGGTAGCTCCTGTTTTTTTTGTGAAGGATGCAGCGAACCAGGAAAATCATGAAATATCTCAACTTCAACACCTCCATCTGATGAGATCACATTTTCAACTTCTTTTTCTTTTTGTTTGTCCTTTGGTTTGTCATTGGACTCACTTTGCAGCTCAGGATTAATATCTTCAGTATCCATGTCGACAAAATATGCCGCCACGACTTCTTCGTCCCTTTCTGCTTCCTGCTGCACAAACACAGGTTCTTCACTGATAGTATCAAAAGAACTTGTGGAACTC